AAATTGTTTTGTTTTTTTTTTTTTTTTTTTTTCTATCGAGATCTGCGTTTTGACGAAAAGGAAATTTTGCGGATTTTTGTTGCTACATATGTATCATTTCGTCAATCTTTAATTGCATCGACGTAAATAACACGTTAATGAAACATCACATCATTGGACACGCTTATACTTAACCATCATAATTTTCTTAATTCAATTTATTCCAACACGTAGTTGTCGGCAAACGGAACAAATTGCACTTGACGCAATTCAAAGTTATTATACGGAGAGTATATTATATACCACGAGCACAGTAATCTGGTAAGTTGATATAATGCGAGGCTCGTGTGCGCGCGAATGTTGGAGCGGCCACGCTTCGTTTGCGCGAAAACTCGAGAAAATCATAAAAGGCCAAAAGAGTTAATTGCCCATTGAAGACCTTAGGCCTTTTTTTTTCTACCTTTCCGAGGTAAAAATATACACCCGTGCAACACACTGTATGCGGCCAATTAGATGCAACCTTTTTTTTCTTCCTCTTTATACGTATAGGTACATAATATACATATATACTTTGCACCGTAAAGAATCATTTACATGCTAATACGTATATCTATATGTGTGCCCGGTATCATCGTCATCGAGGATAAACTAGACGCGCGCGTTTTTACGCTCAGCTTGGGGTAAAAAATCTTTTCATCGAAAGACACGCTGGTTCATGCTATATACGAGAAAAAAAAAAAAAAAACAGTGTAAACTCGTTAGTAGGTACTTGAGGCAGATTATACTTTCATTAAACGCGATTAAACATTCATTACACCCATAATCTTGTAGATAATGGAAAAAAAGAGCGGTAATTTCATCGGTATTGGGTACTACGTAACATTTGGACTAAATTTGAGAAAACCAGACGGGACGCTTAAGTGTTTCAATTGACGCGTTCTCTATTCCCGAAATGGCGAAAAAAAGTACCCTCCCATGGTAAAATTTGTAAAAAAAAAAAAAAACGCTCCACGATCCACCCACCCCGCGTAACTGAGTAAAAAAAACAAAAACAAAATTGCAAACCATCTGAAAAATGAAAAAAAAAAAAAAACAATAACCCCCCCGACAACGCGCCTATCTCTCGCCGAGCGTAAATTCCTCGAACGGAGCTGTGCAACCCCGGCAAATATGCAATATTTTTACCCACGACTGAAAAGAGGGGGAAAAAGAGGAGAAAAAAAGAGGAACTTGAGCAGAGACGAGCAATAAGCAACGCGACAAGTATACATATATACGAAAGGTTAAAAGGCGCGCACGCAGAAAAAAGGCGTAGGGGGAGGGGGGGTCGCGATACGACGCGCGCGCTAACCAAACAGTCCCGGTCCCGCCCATATTCGGGCCGTAATTTGCCCCGCGGGGCGATCTGCCCATCCCCTAATCGGAGCTCGGTCCCCGCGCTAATAACAGGATCACCCGCAGCGCCTGTGCGTATAATATATATATACACACACACGTCCACGGTACAACGCGCCTCGGCCCGTATATACACAAACGCAAGTGATTTTCGCTCTCTGCTCCTTTAAAATCGTTTCACCCCTTACTTCGAATATGTGCCTACACAAGCATAATGTAGGCTCGAGACTGGGTGATTGCATGGATTATCGGCCGGAAAATTGGCGTGGTTCGCGCGAGCACGCGTGTTTGCTTTAGCTCGGGCGACGCCGCCGGGCTCGGGATGGGCAAATTTTCGCCCTCGCATACAAATGGATATACGTATATTACATGTCGACGGAGGAGGTGGATCGTCGTCATGCAAAACGACGCGGCTTGTCGATCGTCAAGTTCCGGCTTATTGATTTTTCGCGTCAGGACGGAGATAAGGAAAGTGCCGGTGTGTGGCCGCGAATCGGCCCGTTCGAGGATAAGTGCCGTGTAATTTCGCGGTTCGTTGCCGATCTCCTATACCCCCCCCCCCGATCCTCAGCCGCGGTTGTTTGCACACGGTGTACAAAGCTGTGGTTAAGGCCCGCGAGATGTAAATATATTTCGCAAAGATGGGCCCCCATTTCAGCCCAAGTGTGCGTAAACATGATCATTTTGGCCGGGCGATCGGTTCGTAAAAGTGAAAGATAAAAAAACCTATTGTAACGTAGTTGATGAAATTTAGGGTGGGGATGAGAGATACGTGATGAAACTCACAGGCGACTCGCAATTAACGAAAAGCCACGCTCGACAAGTCGTCTCCACACACGGTAGCATTCGCGAGCGAAGGGATAATTTTTACTACGTGTACATGTATGTATACGCCTATATGCAAGCTGTACTCCGGGACCTCGTGCCCATCGATCCCTCGCGGTCCATCTCTCTTTATGTCCGCGCAACGCGAGACAAGAGGGGGAGGAGCCGGGGCGCTGATTTGCTCGACAGTATCGACTCCATTTGTAAGATCGGATCGCCGGTAAATGGCCCCCACACGTGTACACGTACACGTATAGGTAGAAAGCGTAGAGAGAGGGAATTTATGGCACAGAGAAGGGCCCAGCTCGTCTCGTTCTTCCGTGACGTTGTTTATTTCGCTCGCGGGTACAAACTTCCCTCTCGCGCGAGTGTACACAAGAGGCCGCGTGAAAAAGGGGACGAGAGAGATATATGGTCGTCGCCATACGCGGGGAATACGGTGGCTCGTCGACAACGATATCCGACTCGCGGACAGAGACGTAAGGTACACTCAATATTAAGAGGACAACCGAGGGCGTATCGCAACCACCCCGTAAAGTGGCATATAATATTATATATACTCGCGCTAACGATACTTTTATAAAAATACACATATAGGTGTACCTGACTCGCAATATAATATACACTGTGTGATTGTAACAACAGACTCGTGCAACGCGCTCCCTTGGAGCGTGTCCCCCGCAATAAATCATCCCCAGGTGCTTACTCGCGAAAAATGAGTAAAACCCACAGTGCACCTCCAGCAGAGAGAAAGAGGGTAAAAACAAAAAACACCCGTGCACGCGCAAAGTGCTAAGGCCTCTGTGTGTGTGTGTGTGTGTGTATATACATATAGGTATAGCCGAGACGATGATCGGCCAAAGCTGCGGGGCCGATATCTGGCCCCGTGATCTCCCTCATTTAAGATCTCGAAACTCGAGCGGCGGTGGCAGCAGCACTGGCCCATACATACCCCGAAGAAAATCGAAAAAAGGAGAACAACGACGAAAGAGCAAAAGGACGAAGCACCGCGTGCATGTACCTATACGTATACGTGTGCAGCCTGTACCCGGTGCTTGCACGAAGAGGGTAACCATATACACACCACGGTGTAGGTACAGGAGAGAGGAGGTAAAAGAAAATGTACAAGTATTCGGGGGCTGTGTGTGTGTGTAATACAGCAGCACGGGCGCGCGGGCGTGAGCGAGAAAATAGACGAGAGAGGTAGCTGCGCGCCACGTATGGGTATATATACCTATTCGTACATAACTATGAGGTATGTGTAGGGGTAATTAAGAGAGTCCTTTTTTCGCGGGTAGGTTATATATATATGTACGTGCAGGTTGTTGCACGGCTAAAAGAAGGAGGAGGCATAGTGTGCACAGAGAGAGAGGGGGGGTGGGGGCAATAACTTACGTGTAATGAGAGTAGGATGGGCTGGGCTGGTCCATGTGCTGGACAATGCTGCCGGGGGTGTGGGCTTGTTCCCTGGCCGGCGAGGAGGTCTGCTGGCGGTGCTGCTGGACGGCCGTCGGAGTTGTGGCCCCCTGGGGTGGTGGTGGCACGACACCGGCGGCGTGGTGGTAGCGCTGGCACATCTCGGCCAGGTTCCAGCCATGGGCATCCATATATTTTTACCTGTGGCTCGGTGGTGGACTTTTGGTCGTCGTCGTCGTCGTCGTTCTCGTTGAGCTATTGCTGCTGCTTCGTCCACCGCGAGGCCGCTGCGACAAATCAGCAGCCCCCGGGCCAACGTCCATCTCTTGCACCCTCGACTAACCACTACGCCGTCTTGGGGAGTTTTCGTTTTGTTGATTTTCTACTCGATCACGGAGCTACGGCTCTCGGTGTGTGTCTCTCTCCCTGTTTCCTTGCTTATTTGTTCTTTCGCTGCTCGCTTTCCCGATTTCTTCCCCAAAACCGGGTCTGAAACAAAATCCAATCACTCGTCATCATACCTTTTATTCTTTCGTCCCATATGATATTTGTATGTTATATATTGACTGCTAAATTATATGAAACGCGCCCTTTTACCACCATTTGGAGGCTTTACAATCGGCTCTTACTCCACATAACGCCCTCCCCCGGAACAGTAGCATCGGTAGCGGTAGCTTATCGGCCCCGGCATCGATGTTCCCTCTCGCGCCAACGCGAAAATAGCCGCGCCATCGATCCATCCCGTGCACCGAGGAGGACGGCTTTAACGCTCGCTCCATCTGCACCCCCTTCCCGCTTGGATATCTCCAATTTCGCAATCTCGCGCATTCCTCGCTGCACGCGATCCCCTCTCCCAAACTCACGTACGTGCACACGCGCGTGAGAGCGGAAAACGCGTAATTTCTAAAAAGCTCTCCCGTACGTGGCCCGATCTGAATCTCCAAAGAGCTCGGATCTCGCGCTTCCCCCCCCCCCCCCCCNCCCAGAGAGTTTTCTAGGCCAAGGAGGAAGAGAAGGGAGAAAAAAAAAACAAAAAAAGAATGAAATAAAGAAAGAGCTGACAAAAGCCATACGCATTATATACTCGTCATCGGCTGCAGCACGCGCCAAAGTGTATCAGCTCGAAAAGTGCATATACACAACGAAGATGGGTATTCACCGGCAAGAGGGAGGGAAAGAATGAAAAAAAAAAAGAAAAGAAAAAAAAAAAAAACACAGCTCGCTCGTAATTTTAACGGGTCCCCTGATTAAACTTGTAAATCCGAGGAGAGCGACGCGTATACGTGTGTGCGAGCGGAAGTGACGACCCGTCGGAGGCCTACTGCCGCTCACCTTTGCACCACTATATATATATATATATAAGATAACAAATATTTGTGAAAAAAAAAAAAATTATTTTTTTAATGCACATAAAAAATAAGACTGATTATTTTTGATAAAACTTTGTTGTAAAAACAGTCAAATATTAATAAAATCGTTACTCAAATGTTTCTAATAAATATAGAATATAAAATTTATAAAAATTTTTTGACATTAAAAGACATTACGTATTAATATTTCTTCAATTGTCCAAATAATAAAAACCAAAAATGTGATTCAAAATAAAATTTTGAAAATCAATTCTATACTGTGTATTCTTTTCCTTATTCCATATTTTTAATTTTATTTCATTTTGTAAAATATGTTTCAATTAAACATATAAATTAATTTCTAATTCATATAAATAGAAGATGCATGAAATCATTTTACAGGTAATCCTCAGGCCGAACGTGCCCCACCCCATGACGGACCATACCTCTCTATATGACGGCCCCTACCCCGTTCTCAAACGGTTTCTATTTTTATTAATGACATGCACATTTAATTTTAATATAATCATGGAGGGCTTAAATTATATTTTTTAGGTATTCGTCTTTATTGTTGAATATTTTTGATCATTAAATTTAAAAAAATTTCGGTACAATGATTTAATTAGCTTAGGAAGCCGGTAGTGCCCCGCTCTCCCCTACCTACATGTAATTTGGGGTAATGAATAATGTATCAGCACAAAAATCGTGTTATCCGCCCTTTCGGCTAACGGCACGACTTTCATTTCCATCGAGCAAAACAATCACCGGCCCAAAAAACGAAATAATACATGGAAATGACCCCTTTAAATTGATTTTTATCGCTCCGCTGACAAGACGTTTTTATTTTACACTTGAAAAATCACCCGCATAATGTATACTTTCCTCGCATTAGCGCGCGCACACACGAATCACGCGTAGGTTGATCCGAAAGCAATGTGATATTAAGCCAACGAAATTACCATAGAGCGTTACTTACACATGACATTACAGAGAGTTTAAAATGCGAGGTATATGAAAAAACAGTTGATGGAGACGCCGCGTTACTTCCGAGAACCGCTTGATGGTTAAAATACAACCACCAGAGACTATATTGGCAGAAAAAGAAAAGTTTTTTTAAATTAAACATTACCGAGCGATGAGTAACCCAAGAGCTCGATTATACATTATGCTCGCCGCACCGCTCATCGATCGGCCGCTCCGAGGCAATTGTCGTACACGCGAGCGCTTATGGTATACGCGTACACCGCGTATAATGCGCAATGTCTGTCGCATAAAAAACCTCGCGTTTTATTTAAATAACAATAACCAATCGTCCATTCAACAACGCGTATATTATTATGACGCCATAACGATAATTAGCACTGCGTGCCCTCTATAATACACGTATACATGTATATAATCCCTTATTAGTCAGCGGTGACTTATGGGACACACGCTATACGTATATAATTGTATTTCTAATGTATATTACCCTTCATTTCTAAAAACTAATTTTTCATCCTGCTTTTAAAAGAAAAAGTAAAAATACATCTGTACAACTTGACGAATCGTTTTGACAAGTGCGCAATTTTTTTCAATGGTATACTATAATCTAGATTTTCTCGTAAAAGTATATGTGATTAAATGAATTGTTCATTGCCCTTGGAATTTGGCTGCGTATTGTTTTTTCCTCAAAAATCAGTGAATTCACTTTCCATCGCGAAACACTCGATGAAACTTACAAAAATAATCAAAGTCGAGTCATCGATTGGAACATATAACAAGTATAATATAACAATGTACGCAATACTTTGAGCACAACCTACAAAACGAAATGGAGCAGCATTCACATTAGCACCACCTTGTACAGAGACGCGCCAATGATCCCACGTGCTCAAAAATCCCAGAGAGTTTTCTAGGCCAAGGAGGAAGAGAAGGGAGAAAAAAAAAACAAAAAAAGAATGAAATAAAGAAAGAGCTGACAAAAGCCATACGCATTATATACTCGTCATCGGCTGCAGCACGCGCCAAAGTGTATCAGCTCGAAAAGTGCATGTACGCAACGAAGATGGGTTTTCTCCGGGAAGAGGGAGGGTAAGTATGAAAAAAAA